TGCAATCTAAACCCGACTTTCCTTTCTTCTTCTCTTCTAGTTTTATTTTTTCTAGTTTCCATCTGTAATTCTTTTTGTTCCTCTCTCATTTGTTTTCCTGGTATTCAATTTACTTCATCCTATTCGACATACGTCGCGGTTATTCAATACTAAGTTTTCTGGCTTTAGCAATGTAAATCAAACAGCATAGCATTTCGTTGCACCTCGTTAATCTTCGTCGCACACACATACACACACTATACACGTTAGCTAGAGGTGGGAAACACCTCAGCTATTGTGCTCTTCGTCAGTCCGGAAATTCCTGACACTATGCGGTACTGATATGGCGAGAGTTTCCACTTGGCCTTTAGTTTCGCAACATGGCAGAGAATAGCTGGATCTCGCCAAGAATAGTTTCCAACGATTGCTTTGATTGCTTTTCGTTCGCTTTGCCTACACACCTTCCACCATTGGAACCACGATGTTTCTGCACTTTTTTCGGTTATCCACATGTTTTATGTGCACTTTATCCTTTACCCACCACATAAATTCACACTATCCATTTTACCATTTTCACCGTAACTGTTCCATCTTCTTATCCGAACTTTTCTGGTTTGAGTATCAAAACTGACACTGGCTCTGTCGCTTTAGTGACGGACCCTATCCAGAGACGTTCCCGTTGTATCGTATCTCTACATCGAATTCTTTACTCTGTAGTATCACATCTGGTCATCATCCACACCTAGGTACTCACTTTCACGTAGTCTACGTGTTCAGACTCTTAACTGTGGAGCGTTGTTAAACCACTTTATGGGCGCGCCATTGTACACTAGTCCTTGTTCAACATCTTTGCTGTTTCCGCCTACTGACCGTCGTTCACTATCCTTCCAATGACCCCCCTTGCTAATGTGATGTACCCAATCTATCTTTACACTGCACCGCTTGCATCATACTTATCGTATCACTGGTGTATCAGCAAAGATATGTATCTAGTGCGCCGTGCTGAGCTTCTTAATTGACTTTGTTTTATTTTCTGTCCACTTTGGCACTATCTCGACATACAAGGAATACATATTGGAGTAAACTGTTCATTGAAACCATAAGTTACCGGTTTTCATGATGGATTTCGCAGTCGGACACCTGCCTGCTTTGTTCTTGCTGTAGCTTATCCTTTGCCTACATATTTTCTTTTTTAGGCCCTACGGGCCTAGGGATCAGTATTCTTGGCCTTGGGGTTGATAATATTGGTGGAGATCAAAAGCTGAGTATTTTCATCAAATCTCTTACTCCTGGCGGTGCGGCCGAAGCTAACGGCCAGTAAGTTATCCTTCTCCACCAGTTATGTGACATTTACTGACTTTTTCGTTCACATCTAACTATGGTTTCATGCTGTACCTAAACTGTTTTGTGGACCGCTCGATACATTCAGCAATCTCAGAATGAATTGCTGCGAACCTTTACTGGATCGTCTTTGGCTTTGTGGGCTTTAAAACGGACCACCTCTTAATTGGTGTTTCCTCATGAGTAGATTGCATACGCCAACTTATTGCGAGTTTGGTCGTATACCGCAGTCCACGAAGTTGCGATCGTACACAAACTTTGCCAGTGAAGTCAGCAATTGATTAACTGCTGCCACCTTCATGCAGACCATCGGTTACGGGAATTGCGAACAGTTATCACTCAGTACGCGCGCTTTATTCACGAAAATTGATTCTGCTTATTTACCAGTTACTTGCATTTGGATCTCCATATTTTCTTTGGTAACTGCTTGTCACCGCCTCTCTTAAGTATTCACAATTTTGCTCGGATTCCACTCCATTGGTCCCACACGCTTAACGGTTGCTTGTCCCCACCATCTCGTCTTTTGATGGAATGCAATTTTTGTTCGTGTCGCTGCTAAGAGTAGCGGTTTCATCGGATCCACTCGGTTTGTGAGCATTAGACGACATTATGCTTTGTAGGGTCCAATGCGGTGTTGATACTACTTTTGCGAAGGTTCATCGTAGCCAGACAGTCACTAAACATTTGGGAAAAACGCCAAACGATCATTTTGTGCGATTGGAATCGTCAGTAGCACACATCCGCCGGATCCTGCTTGATCCGTAATCATGACCACACTTTTACGAATCATTGGCTTAAGCCATGACGCCATAGGTGACAACTGTGGACTTGCAAAGAACAGGTCTGAGTTTCGAAACTATCATCTGCTACTCAGTGGCTTAATTCGATACTTTGTGAGAGTAAGATCATGCGCTCGGATCCAACAGGAACCGGCGGATATGCGCTATTGACTAGTCCGGCGCATTTGTGTGTGTGCGCGTGTGACGATTATGTGACCGTATCTGACTGCAACGAACTCAAAAATATGTTATGGTTTGGAAATTGGGTGTTGCTCGCCGTGATCCGGTAGCCAAAGGGGTAGAAGTTTCGGCTACCATTCCAATGATCGCGGTTTCCAATCCTGCTATATCCACCTGATGAAATGACATCGAACTGGTGGTTGTGCAGTGTTTTCGGGTGGGCAACACCCAATTTCCGTCTGCTTTGACCGGTCGCAGTGATTAAGGTTCACTTCAATGTGAATCGCGATCCACTTTGAGATTGCGCGTCCCAATCCAATCACACATGTCCAAAATTGACCTTCCAATTACGTTATGATCTATTTCACCCCGATTGCTGTTTGGTTCGGCCGAATAATTCCATTCTATTTTGTACTATCAATCGCCCAAGATCCTAGTACCGATTTTCGACGGATCCGGTGGCTACTATCTGTGTCATGGTTGTAACTGCAGTAATGAGCAATGACACAGACGAAACAGCGCGGCCAGTTGACCATAATCGTTAAGCGAAGTGTTTAGCAGATGGAGCGGCCAAATCAAATGTATGAACACCATTGCCCCTCATGTCAGAATCCCTCTCCATCGCGCTATTTAAACAGATGTTAATCACCTGGCAGACAAACTTTCCGTCAGTATCCTTATTCCTTTCCGTTATGCCATCGTCAGACCACTAGTAGGCATCAGTCAATGAGCTGTTGACCTAAAATCGAAGAACATGATCTAACCTAAGCAATTGGTTCGTGCTCATCAGACGATCTAGTCATGAGTCAGAGCTTATTACCGACATTTACTAAGTGATCCGATGTCACCAATCCTGAGTTTCTTCTAGATAGGGTGGTTAGTTTCTTAAGCTTCTTAATAGAACCTCGCTATATCCCTGCTCCACCCAGTACCATGTGCACTACCACTTATTGACAAGCTATTGTTGTGTTGTCTCTTCACGCATCTGAGGCTTTTATGGCCACGTGACATTACTGTTGTGCGCAGCAACCTCATCTGCAGTGTGATCCCCAACTAACTAAACCGATCCACAAGCTCCACTGCCCCTTTCAATGATCATGCGAACACCCGCTGTGCTATCCCAAGATGCAAGATGCTGCCTTTTACTAGGAAGGTGCAAGCCACGTGCCGAGATGCGCTCTTGGTGCTGCGGACACTGGCGCTGTTCCATAGACGTAACCATCTCCCTTCCTTCAGACTGTTTAGCATAGACTTGAACGCTTGCACTCGATATTCGTGTCGTTCACGTGATTCGCTTCCTGCAGCTACTCCCTTATTTTCTCGGTATGTGAAGCCGGGTTCGGAGTAGGTGCTCTCGAATCCAGTTGTTTCGTGAAAGCGGTGGTGGGTAGTGCTAGGTGGGCGCTCTGAGACATGATCTGAATCTGAACAGAAGCTCCGAGTCGACCAGCGGTCTCGCACCACCAACTGGTATGGTCGTTACGTGTCGCACAGTAGGTCCTAGTTGAAGCGTTGTTGCACTTTTCATTGGAATGCGGCACTGTTTGCACTACGTTACTTGTAGACGTCGTTATCATTGAAATGAACATCGACCCGCTGCGGCCTCCTGGACGTTGTTTGAAACTTCCGTGTCCACAACCCCCTTACTTCTGGCCAGGAAGGTGAGAAATGTGCTTTTCTAGTAGAACTGGCCTTTTATGTCTACTGACTTGCAGTCGATAGAAGTGTACGCCAGAATACTAGGGAGAAGTACGTGTACACACGCTATGTGTCAACGTTGATGAAATTATTAATTTGACTCATATTCTGGCGCATTAAATTTGTTTGATTTCACTTTCTTCGCATAGCGGGGCAATACCTACTTTGAACTATCGAGGCATCGTCGACGGGGTTTTCTCCCCACACTGCAACCTTCTGTTCGCACTTTTGAGTACTCAGTCAAATCCAAGCGGGTCTATAACGAGTACGGGATTTATTCGTTAATCGATGTGACTTCAAGTGTGGACGCTGGAGCACTGGTTTTCAGTGACACTTAAGTACATCTCAAACATAGGTGGCGTTCTGCCTCTTTTAGATTTTCCGAGAATTTGTGCGGGAAAAATATAACAAAAGCAATGAAAGATAATTAGCGACAATCTTTTGTCGGCTTATGGTTCTCTCGGTTTCATAAGAGAGATAACCTAGATCCCACACATTTATGTCCTTTGCCACCGTTTTTCTCCTTAATCATACGAAATTCACAAAATTTTTCTACTAATCATTGTAATTTGCATTGCGCTTTTCTTTTTTTACACCCTCATTTAAAGAATACAAGTTTTCGACCAAATTGTCGAGGTTGACGGGATCAACCTTGTTGGCGTTTCCCAACAGTTTGCTGCACAAACCCTACGCAACACTCGTGAAGTTGTTCAGTGAGTAATAGACTAATTAGAACTGTCTTTCACTTCATAGGTAACTCTTTTCGTCTCTGCACTTTGCAATCATTTAGATTCGGTGCGCCTCGATAGTCTTACTATGTGCAACTCGTCTCTGTTTCGCTGATTGATCGGTGGGTGTTCCGCTGGTTACTTGACTTCTCTGCCTTTCAAGTCACGTTCCGTCATGTCAGTCTATGTAAACAATAGTCCCATCCGTTCGCACACTATTCCGACTTTCGTTCACTGTTAGATTTCGTTGTTGTTGTGTGACACTTCCGTTTACGCTCTACGACCTCGAACTGGGTGCTGGAAAGATCCAGTGGCAGCATTGGAGTCTCCGGTGGAGCATATTTGTCTACGATTTTCACAAGTTTGTTGTGACAGTCTTAGAAGATGCACGCTCTCCATCATGCGAAGGAACATTTACATTAGTTGACACAATGGTCATACTAGTTCGCAGCAATACCTAATCGAATCCCACTACGCAATATGCTCCTGCTTTGGTAAAGGGCTGCTTGCTTAATTTCCTTCGCATTGTTGGTTTTTTATCGGTACTCTGTTCCTCTCATTCAGGGATGAGAATAAGTTTCACAGGTCACCGGTGCAGGGGATCTGCACTTTTTACTCCTTCTGACGATGCGTTTGATACCAGAGCGCTACACCACATACTTGCTTTAGTAATATCCGGAATGGGGCGTTTCTGGTCATCGCAAGTAAATAGAAGTCTCATATATCTTCGACTTCGAATCATTTTGATCCCTTACCGACTTCCTCTGCGTTATTTTGCGCCTTTTTAGCTTTATTTTGGCCCGAGAACGTAATCCTACCAATGGCCGTGTGGCTCAGCTACTTGCTGAACAAGAGGAAGAAGATGAAAGACAGAATAGAAGCCTTGAAGGCTGGCACTCATTTCAGTCCCCCAAGTATGCACCGCTTAGATGACACTTCACTCCTCATCCTCCTGTTTCCACCTTGTGTGTGCACATTCTTGATGTGCTCTCTGCTATAATCCGCAGTCTTGAACCACCAGCTGCTAGTTTCGGGTTGGTTTCTGCATTTTGAGTTAAACCGATCCATACAGTTGTTTTTCGTCTTGTTGTTCTCTTAACAGGCTCAATTCAGTCATATCTCACATTGCGACTTCAAGTCTATCTTGACCACGACAACTCCAATTATTCCCGCTTTCCTAATCGCAGTTTTCAGTCACTTCCCTTTTCTCTGTTATGCAGGTGCTGTTAAACTTGTGATCTTTCGGTCATGCCTCTCAGCCACTACTTTGCGCTCCACAACCTAAATCGAATGAATAATCCGCACCTTGTCCAGACAGTGCACAGTGGTTGTTTTAAAACTTTTCTAACACCATTGCGTTTCCGCAGTTTGTGTTTTGCCTTCGCTGGACGCAATTGTAGGTATCCAACAGACAGAATAATACGGAAGCATTAGAGGTTTTGCACGCGGCACTCCAATTTGAGAGTGTCACTGTGAATTGCGAATCAGATATCAAACTGAACGATGCAACTGTGCTTGCCGCAAAAAGACCACTTTCTTCCGCCGATTGGTTCCTGTGACACTGTTTGTGGTCTTTGGTCGGCCACTCTATCATTTCACTACGGTACAAAACTCGCACATGCTGATCTGTAGTGCCTCTGTCCGGTAGAGCTCTTCATGCCAAGTAACCGCCAGTCAGAATGAAGCGAAATTGCTGAAATCCACATGCTCTTGGTGGTGGCCGTTTTCACGCTTGAACTACATGCACGGATCATTCTACATTTTCCACCTCATGTGACTGGCTCCAAGTGACTGTTTGCTAGACACTGCAGCTGCACTTATTGGGTTTCGCCTACTACTTGCGATAATCTACTGTTTATGCATCTTCTTTGCGGTCATACGCCTTAGTTGCACACATCTTTTTCATCAGACTATTACGAGTGACCCTCAAGTATCTCGAAGGAACTGCATCTTTGCATTTCTCTGTCTTAGGACTTCCTCACTTTCATGCACCGTTATATTTCTCAGTGTTTGCACAGACAGCTTTTTGTTTCGGTTAACTGACAGTCATCCCTCGTACTGCGATTTTCCGTGGGGTATCCGAAACCATGTGACCAATGATTGTTTCCTTTTATGCACGTTTCTATTGGTAGTTCGCTTTCATAGGATAATGCGGCAAAAGTTGATATCTTTACATCGCTGTATTTCACATTCTGCATCGTTTCGCTCACCTGTTTGTATTTTTCTTGTCTCACTGAATCCACTCATTAGTTGGCAGCACTGACGCTGTCGTTTGCTGCTAAGCCAATAATTTCTAGATTGCATATTGTGATTAGAGCATATGTGCTACCTATCAGCGCTCTACCGTTTACCGTCTCACACCAACCTCATACATTTTTTACAGAAGCTACACTCCCGGTCTCATGGATCAAGACACCACAGTAAGTGTTGACTTCAGTCATGCCGCTTTCCTTTCTTCCGGGTGTTTACTGTTCATTCCACTTTTGCCATTCCTATTGTTTCCGTCGCACAGAGACTGGACCTTAACGGGATGCGACGGTTTGCTTATCTCTCAGCCACTGGACAATATTGGGTGGTGCCTCCGCGCTCACCACGTGGTTGGCCAGTGAGCAGAGGCCTGTTGAACAGTCTCCCGGTCCCCCAGTTTGGGGACTGGAGATGGGATCTTGTCCATTTCTATAAAACCGGTGCGCTGCCACCTCCCCTTGCGAACGGGCATTTGAGCCAGACTGCTTGAGGACTCTAATCGTTATCCTGTCCACGTTTGGGCGCCCTGACAATATCTCAGCCTGCGTACAGCCATGACTATTTCATTAACGTTTGACCTCCTCCTTTATCAACCTACGTGCAGCTCTAAAAGTGGCCTCATCTGCTTCATACAGTAGGGCGGATAAGCTCTAGCCTGCTCTTGCTGAGACCTTCCTTCTTTCATCGCCGCGTGTTTCGCATAATCTTCTTATGACCCATGTTACTAGCCTGTTTACTACAATTCTCGGAATTACTGACCGTAGACACGATCCTTCTCTATTTATACCATTTGCAGTTATGTTCACAAACCACCCACTGGACGCCTATCCATATGCAGTTCCGTATAAAGCCACGCTTCCTTTTCACTGGCGGCGTTCAATGTTTTCATTCTAGGATGAATAGGTCAATAGGCGGACTCGCTCTCACGCTAGACACCCTGGATATCGACGTCTGTTGCTCGTCTGAAACTAGCA